AAAATACTTTATTTCATAATAAATAATTGGAAACAGTAAGGACAATAGAAATTAAATGAATAATTAGAAAAATCCTGACTTTTTGACTTCTATAACTTTTTAGGTTCTCTATTTAACAAGTATTTATTGGATGTTATTAGCCATAATTTGTTGTGATCTACACAGTTAAATGTCTTTGAATATCCAAATTAAACACAGACATTCTTCTGGTATCTTCTGCTTTGTTCAAAGATTCATTTGGCACAGCAATAATATCCCTGTTGTTATGGCCTGTTCTAAATCCACCTTGAATTTCTGGCAGTTCTTTGTCAATGTACTATTACAGCTATTTTTCAATAATCTTAAGTAAGAATTGGCTGACATGTGATATTAATTATATTATTTGATAATTTTCATAATCTATTGGACCACCTTTTTTTGAAAATGGGAATAACTATTAATATTTTCCAGTCAGTTTTCCAGATAGCAATCATTCAGTTTTATTGGCATAACTTTATGAGCACATTCAAGGCTGCATCTCTTTGTTAGAATGTATTCTATCTATTCCTGGGGGCTTAATTTTTTTGTCAATGCATCCAGTGCAGCTTGTACTTTTCCTTTATTATCACTGGTTCTTGACCATATGCTATTCCTAATATGGTTCATGTCAGCCAATTATTCTTGATTCACAACTGTGTATTCCTTCCATCTTCTTTTCATGATTCCTAGATCTTTCAAGATAGCATCATTCAGTATCGCAACATTAAACTTGAATTTGTTTTTCAGTCCTCTCTACTTGAAAAATACTGAGCTAGTTATTTCCTTTTGACTTTCTGACTCTAGCTCTTTCCACATTTTATTGTAACACTTTGATCTGTCATCTTGTTTTCTGAAATATTCTGTTCAACTTTTACTTTATGATTTATTCCCTTTGTTTTGGCTTCTCAATGTTCTCATACTTTTTAAAGTCTCTTCTGACATTCATTTTGGTTTGCTTTCCCTCCTCTGTCCTTGACGTCATACCTCATCCCACCTGTTGTTCAATCCCAGACAAAGCAACTGTTGTGCTAACAGATTAAGACCTGAATGGTTTAAAATCAAGAAAGGTCTTCATCAAGGATGTATCCTTACTCCACTCCTATCCATAACATAGTAGATTATTTGAGAAACTGTCTTTATTAAGAAAAAAAATAGCATCAGCATTGGTGGCAGATACATCAAAAAACTTTTTTTTAATTTTATTTTATTATTTTGTGTATGTGTACCATCAAATCAGATCTGACTGGTACAGTAGGAGGACATTGCCCCTCCTTCTCCAGCAGAGGATCTGGTGGACTCGAAAAAAAACTCTTTATGAAGATAACACAACCTAGTTTGTTGAATATCAAGAGGACTTTATGCACTTTCTGCAGATCAAGGACTATAGCTATCAATAAGGATTGCAGCTCAATTTAAAGAAATAAAAATCCTCACCACTCGTCCAATAGGCAACATCATGATTGCTAGAGAAAAGTAAAATCTTGATGTGGTCACGTATTTCATCTTTGATGCATAATCAACACCCTTGATACCAGTATCAAGAAATTAGAAGAGGAGTTGCATGGGGGAAATCTACTGGAAGGGACTTCTCCAGAGTACTGAAGAACAATGAAGTCAGTTTAAAGGCTAAGTTGTACTTATCCAAGCCATGATCTATTCAATCACTTGTTATGTGTGTGAAAATGGAACGATGACAAAGGATGACCTCACAAGAATTTATGCCTTTGAGCCATGGTGCTGGAAAAGAATAGTGAATATACCATAAATTGCTGAGAGAATGAACACGTCTGTGTTGGAGAAAGAAACCGGGATATCCCTTGGAGGCAAGAATGATGAAACTCTGTCTCTCCCATGGTTTGGGCATGTTGTAAGGAGGAGTCAGTCCTTGGAGAAGGACATTATGCTTGGAAAGTTGGATGGTTAGCATACGAGAAGAAGATCCTTAATGAGATGAATTAACACAGTGAGTATAACAGTAGGCTCAAGTGTGTTGGAGTTGGTGATGATGTTATAGGATAGGGCAAGGTTGAGAGTAATTTTTCCTAACTTTGCTGTGAGTCTTGGTTAACTCAATGGCACATTACCAACATCAGAGACTAGTCATTACAGCTGCCCATTAATAAAGATTAGTTTGACTATAATATGGAGGAAACAATATTAAAAGTAGGAAAATGCTACTTCTGTTACAACTATTTAGTTTATAGTTTCAAGAAAAAAATAGTATATGGTTTTTTGTCCTTACTTATAGGTTTTTTATTTAGAAGAGTAGATTCTACACTAAAATATAAATCTATGAAAAGTGTAACTTTCATTTTTAACTGTGAAACAGAAAGCTCTAAATGTAAATACATTTGTAAGTAAATAGTTTATTCATTATCAACTTCATTAAGTTTGTCAGTTTTGCCAGAAATGTTCTATAAATTAAAATAGAATTTGTATTGGCTTGTTAACTGTTAACTTTAGCAGTTAGAACTCACCAGCTATTCTTCAGGAGAAAGATGTGTCAGTCTGCTTCTGCTAAACACTGTTGTTTTTATACGAAGTCGAGTTGCTTGCAACTCATAGCGACCCTATGTACAACAGCTGTAAACCCTGCACCACCCTCTGCCAATATTATTGTCTCTGACACATCTACCCCAATTACCCCAGTCACAGAATCAATCCATCCCCTTGAGGGTCTTCCTTTCTTGCACTTTCCCTCCACCCTCCCAAGCATTACATCCCTCTCCAAGGAATGGTCCCTCTTTGCAACATGTCCAAATTATGTCAGAATTTTTGCATCCAAGGAGTTGTTTGGTATATTTAATACTCTTCTCCAGCATCACAGCTCTGAGTTATCAATTCTCCTTCCATCATCCCTAAACATTGTCCAGCTTTCAGATGCAGTGCAAGTGATTGCAAAGACTATGACAAGAATCAGTCACACCTTAGTTTCCAGACTGATATTGTTGCTCTTTAGTACTTTGGAGAGATCTCTGACAACTGACTTCCCTAATGAAATTTATCTTTTAATTTCCTGGCTGCAAGTACCATGAGTGTTAATTGTGGAGCCAAGTTAACTAAAGTTCTTAACCATCTCAATCTCTTCACCACCTATCTTTGATGCTGCCAATCGGCCCAGTGGTGAAAATGACAGCCTTAAAAATTCAATAGAAAGTCACCAGAAGTTGACATTATATGGTTGATAATAAGTGTGATTACATCTATGTTATTACATATATGTGTGTGTACCCTTCTATACCCTTAGTTACAGTAAGAAGGCTTACCAAAACAATCTCTATTTTCCTTTGGTTATACTTTGTCTTGAAACTTTTATTTTGTACATAAATATGGTATATGAAAAGTTGAAATCATGTCATAAAAAATTAGTTCCTTCATGAAATATTCTGAGAAAGTAAAAACAAAATCCAGGCTATAATTTTGTACATATACTCACGTGCACTAAATATCAATGTCTACTCTATTGACTTTAAACTTTAGAAACGTGCTATATTTTGAATTTTCTCCTGGAAAGGGTCAAACTGGGCGACTCCTTGGAGGCAAGGATTCTGAGGTTCCGTTTAACATATTTTGGCTATGGTGTAAGGAGGGACCTGTCCTTGGAGAGGGACATCATGCTTGGGAGGGTGGAGAGACAGCGCAGGAGGGAAAGGCCCTCTATGAGGTGGATTGATTCAGTGACTGGGGCAATTGGGATGGGTGTATCAGAGATGGTGCGATCGGCACAGGACAGAGAGGAGTTTAGGGCTGTTGTACATAGGGTCGCTATGAGTTGCAAGCGACTCGATGGCACATAACAACTACAATACCTCCTAAGGTAATGTAGTTATTGTTGCTGTTGAGTGCAGTTGAGTTGGAATCGACCCATAATTAACTCTTCAATGGGTTTTCAGAGACATTAAGTCATAGGGGTGGCTATTGCTCATCTTTCTCCTGCAAAGCAGCTGGTGGTTCTGAATCTTCCTGAACCTTTGCATTAGAGGCAGAATTCTTTGCCACTAAGCCACCATAGCTTCTCCCTGGGGCATTATTTAGGACCAAGTGATGGAAAGTTTATAACATTATCTGTAACAACTATTCAAAATCGCTTTGTCACTTATAAATATATAAATTCCTTTAAAAATATTGACATAAACCAAGATTGGTATTCTGAGCAGCAAAACTTTTCCAGCTGAAATCTGTTTTAGTGTAAGATAAATCACTTAAAATCTCAAGTGTATTTGTGCATTGAACAATAAAGAAATCTAAAGGCTATTTTTATTCAATGCTTTTCTTGTTTCTTGGGTGAGATATCCTCTGATTGAAGATGCAGACACTTGCCCTGAAGGGTTAAGTTCTGTACTTTGGCCAGGATTGGATCCATTTGCACCTTTCAGTCCTTCTTGTCCTTTGCTTGCCCTCTCATACATCCTTAAGTACAGAAACTCACTAGGAAACACATTTTACTTCTAGACATCAACTAGGTAATTTTACTAGCAATTTTAAAGCCATTTTTAAATATAGCCACCAAAATAGACATCTGATTGTCTTTATTTTGTGGAGAATTGTGAAATTATTTTTCTTATAAATTTAATTAATAAGTGTGGTTTTAAATTTTTTAAAGAATTTATCCTCAATAAAATTTTTGTTGTTATTAATATTAAAGCAAGCACTGTACTTCCATCTGCTGTTTTAAACCTAAAATATTTATGAAATTTGTCTTTAAATTCTTTTATATTAATTGTTGAAAATGCTAATGAATGTTTAAATGCTTATAAATCAATGTCAAACTCTGAGTGAAATATCTAAGTCACAAAAGAAAAAATACTGCATAAAACAGGGCTGACATTGGGATTGGGGGGAATGAAGAATAGAGGGAATAAATAATGTACAGTGCATTGAAACAGTGCGAAAGAACTGCTTTAAAGAAATATGGGATTAGGTATTATTTGTATGACAATAGTCCAGAACAAGAGCATAGTAAAATGGACTGATAGGGATGGGGATAGGGAACTGTACAACAATGAAAGATTTTTTGGGTTTTTTTGTTTGTTTAAAAAAAAAGTAAACTGGGAGGGAGGAAAGGAGGAAAATGTGCAACACTGAATGAACGGAAATCCAAGTTCTCTATAAACTTTCATTAAACTCTAAAAAAAAAATCTTAAACTCATAGCCATCAAGTCAGAAACAGCTCATAGGTAAACTTTCAACATGTTTTCAGAGGCTGTAAATTACACAGAAAGCGATTACTCATCTTTCTCCTAGAATTAACAGGATTCCAACTATCAGAGATGTGCCAACATCCACATTTAGATGAGCAGTGCAATTCCCTATGGACAGAAGTATAATTCAATAGAAATATTTACAGATCAAATTGCTGAGTTTCAGAGTCTTTTGTAACAGATAATAATTAAGGTGGATATAAAATATTAGGAAATTATAGACCATCTTGAATCTAAAATACAACGTAATAAAGACCATGATTGTCCCTAGATAAGAGAATAATACCTTCATTAAAGAGATTAAAAATAATTATGGAATTGTATTTCATACACTCAAATGTGTATTTTAAATTGATGTTGTGTACGGGATACCTAAATTATTGATTCCTTAATATTAATACCTAAGGAAGAGATATGGTTTTGTGATAAGTTACTTGTGATTCATAGTGACCCTATGTAAAATAGCACTGAACTCTGCTCTATCCTAAGCCAGTCATGTTATCTCTGACACACATACCCCATTATTCCAGTTACTGTGTCAATTTTTCTCATCTGGGATCTTCCTCTCCTTTGATTCCCTCGATCCTTCCAAGCATGATGTCGTTCTCCTGAGACTGGTCCCTCCTAGCCCTGTGCCCAAACTGTTTGGGACCAAGCTTCATAATCCTTGCCTCCAAGTAGTCTGGCTTCACTTTATCCAAGATAAAACCTGTTTGTTCTCATGACAGTCCTTGCCAATATTGAACTGTCAACTCAATTGACAGTACAAAATTCTTCTACATCATCACAACTCAAAGGCATCAATTCGATTCTTATTCTGTCAACCCTAATCATTGTCTAGCTCTCTGGTGCATAGCAAGTAATTGACAAAATCATGGCCTGCATCAAGTATACCTTAATCTCCAGACTGACACTTGCTTTTTAACACTTTGGGGAGGTCCCCAACAGCAGCTTTTCCCAGAGCAATTCCTCTTTTGATATCCTGATTTCTGGTACCAACAGGGTTGATTATGGATCTGAGCAAGCTGAAACTGTTAACAACTTCAATCTCCTCTCCATCTATCATGGTGCTACCAATTGGCCTAGTGGTGAGAATCTTTGTCTTCTTGATTTTGAACTTCAGTACATTTTGCAGACTCCCTACACACTTTGACCTACTGGAACCAATGCTTCAGGTCCTCCTCAATTACAGCAAGCCAGGTTGTGTCATCTGCATGACATAGGTTGTTGATGAGTCTTCTTCCAATCATAATGTCACATTCCTCCTTATGAATTCAGCATCTGGAATGATCTGTGCTGCATACAGCCTGAAAAGGTATGGAGGAAGGACTAAGAGAATAATAGGATTTACAAAAGAGGAAAGGTGGGATTGGAAAACAAGTCTACTTTGAGATATTTTGACTGGAAAGTAGAAATAGGTGCATTTATATTGTACTTGCTTGCTACAGGTTCTACTTTATAAGCATACTCTTCATTAGCTTTGGTTCAGGGATAAATTTTCCTCATATTGAAACTAAAATATAAAATATAATTGACACAAAAGGACTGAGGAATTTAGGATTTTCTCAGGTTGCATTTGTCCTTAGTCTTTTTCTTCTCAGTTCCATCTATCTGTGTAGAGAGACATACATATAGATATGCTCTGACATCATTGACCTTCAGTAATTAGGAACAGACTGATTTGCCCAATATGTCTCCTGATATCTGAACTATTGTTACTAAGGGTGTTGACTATGGTTCCAAGAAAAAAGAAATAATTGATAATTCCAATCTTTTCTCCACTTAGCATGTTGTTGCTTATCAGCCCAACAATGAAGATTTTTCTTGTCTTGATGTTGAAATATAATCTATTCATTGACGTCCACAAACTTTAATCTTCTGTAGCAAACATTTAAAATCCTCTTCATTTCAGCAAGCAAGGTTGTCATCAGCATAACACAAGTTGTTATTGAGTCTTTCTCAGATCTTGACGCCTTATTTTTCTTCATGGAGTCCACCTTCTTGAATAATTTGCTTAGCATACAGATTAAATAAGTGCAGAGAAAGGCTACAACTCTGACTCATCCCTTTTCTGATTTTAACCCCTGCCACATTCTCTTGCTCCATTCAGACAACAGCTTCTTAAGCTATAAATAAAGTCATTGTTGTTCTGGTTTTTGTGTGTCATAGAGTCAGAAGCAACCTATGACTGATCCACCGGCAGGTTTTCAAAAACTGTAAATCTCACAGGAGGAAAATGTCCAATATATCCCTCATAGTGGCTGGTGAATTCCTTTCTTGAGACTTGGAAACCTAACTATTTGAGTTTCAGTCTTAGAATGTTTACTCTAAATCTGCATAAACCTGTACTTTGTAATAGAGTATTTTTAGACATGTTTTAATTCTAGTTAAGGAAGTATACAAAACGGGAGAAATGTTTGGTTTATTTATTTTTATGATAAAATTGCTCAAGTTTTAACTACTTCAGTGAAAATAAATTTGTGCTCACTTTAATGCCTACATGATATTTAACTACTAGGGCATTATTTTTTGCATATTAGAAAAACGCATTATAATTAGTATCATTTGAAATTCTAAGCATATGAGATCTTTGTTATCCATTTGCCTTAGTACCAATAAGGATTTAAGATAAGACTTCCTTCAGGATGACCAAAGTCAGAAAAATTTTTAGTGTTATAGGGAGAATATATGTGCCTTTTCACTTCGGGCAGGATGTGTGTTGCCATTTTGATGGATGGAAAGATTGAGATTTAATCCTATCATTTTAATTCCATTCCAACAATGTTACATTTAAGATAATTTATCAATCACATTTTGGAAACCTTGGATATTATTTCTGTCCCTTTTTATTAATGTGTGTAATAGTGCCTGGTGGTTAAGCTCTCTAAAAAAACAAAGTCTACAATCTTGTGCTTTTTAAAATAGTGTAAGTGGAACCCAAATCCATGAAAGCTTACCTTTAAAGACCAATTTCATTTCATTACACTACATGGAAAAAATAGTTACTACCTTCCAAAAATTCACCATCACTTTTATAGGGCAAATCTACCCTATTTAGCAAGACTATGATTAATACAAACAAAATTATAGTGGAAAGGTACTTTAATGGTCCTGATATTATGCAAGCACAAATATTGTAAATCAGAAAATAATACAATATATAAGTGTTCTGACAAATATAAAAAACTAAAAATATTTAAAATAAAAATATTCACTATTACATAAGATCTCTGCTTCTCAATCCAGGAGTCATTGAGTTGAGGACTATTATTCTTCCTTGGACTTCTTGACTCAATTTCATGTCCATCATGAAATGAGCTAATACTTTTCC